GAGATCATTCCTAGATTTTCCCGTGGTTTATTCCCACATTCCCATGGGATAATTCCCGTGGGTTATTCCTGGGATAATTCCCACATTCCCACGGGTTATTCCTGGGATCATTCCCAGATTTTCCCGTGGTTTATTCCCACATTCCCGTGGTTTATTCCCGGGATCATTCCCAGATTTTCCCATGGTTTATTCCCACATTCCCATGGTTTATTCCCGGGATCATTCCTAGATTTTCCCGTGGTTTATTCCCACATTCCCGTGGTTTATTCCCGGGATCATTCCCAGATTTTCCCGTGGTTTATTCCCACATTCCCGTGGTTTATTCCCACCTTCCCCCTCCTCCTGGAGCCTCCGTGGCTGGCAGCCGGTGAAGCACTGCATGACCTCGTAGCGCGGTCGCATTTCGGCGCCGTCGGCTCCCGGCTCCTCCGGCGGCCGCAGCAACATCCGGCACTGGAAACTGCGGCTGCTGCGGCGCGGAGACTCCTGCGGCCACGGAACGCCGTTCACTGGGAACGGCAACGGGAATCAGCACGGAATTCCCGGGAATTCTCATCCCGAGGGGAGCGGGAATCCAGGGGGGGTTGGAAGGAGGGGTTGGGGAATTTTGGAGATGGCCGAGATTCCCAAAGATTGGTGGGGTTTTGGGATAATCCAAGTGAAATCCCAAAGATTCCTGGGATTTAAGAGAAATCCAACTCTCTTAACTCTTTAATCCAACCGAAATCCCAAAGATCTTTGGGGTTTTGGGATAATCCCACTGAATTCCCAAAGATTTTTGGGGATTTCCGGGGTTTAAGGATAATCTTCCCAGAATTCCCACAGATTTAAGGGATAATCCAACTGGAATTCCCAAGGATTGTTGGGATTTTGGGGTAATCTACCCGGAATTCCCAAAATTCCTGGGATTTAAGAGAAATCCAACCAGAATTCCCAAAGATTTTCGGGGATTTTGGGATAATCCAACTGGAATTCCCAAAGATTTAAGGGAACTCCAAGTGGAATTCCCAAAGATATCCGGGATTTAGGAATAATCTGCCCAGAATTCACGAAGATTATTGGGGTTTTGGGATAATCCAAACTGAATTCCCAAAATTCCTGGGATTTAAGAGAAATCCAACCGGAATTCCCAAAGATCTGTGGGATTTTGGGATAATCTGCCCGGAATTCCCAAAGATTTAAGGGAAATCCAAGTGGAATTCCCAAAGATTTCTGGGATTTAAGGATAATCTGCCCGGAATTCCCAGAAATCTTTGGCATTTTGGGATAATCCAACAGAATTCCCAAAGATTTTTGGGGATTTCTGGGGTTTAAGGATAATCTGCCCAGAATTCCCAAAGATTTATGGGAAAACCAATGGAAATTCCTAAAGATTCTTGCAATTTAGGGATAATTCAACCAGAATTCCCAATAATTGTTGGGATTTTGGGATAATCTGCCCAGAATTCCCGAAGATCGTTGGGATTAAAGGAAATCCAAGTGAATTCCCAAAGATCTCTTGGATTTAAGAACAATCTAACTGGAATTCCCTGGAATTCCCAAAGAATCCTGGGATTTAAGAGAAATCCAAGCGAATTCCCGAAGATCGCTGGGGTTTAGGGATAATCCAGCTGGGATCCCCAAAAATCTCTGGGATTCCTGGAGCAGAAGCCACTCAGAATTCCCAAAAATCCAGGTAGAATTCCCACAAATATTCAGGATTTCAGAAGGGCAATCCAGGTGGAATTCCCAAAAAATCTTTGGGATTTCAGGAGCAGAATCCACCCGGAATTCCCAGGGATTCTCTGTTTTCCCTGGATTTTCCCTGGATTTTGGGGCGTTTTTTCCTTTCCATCATCAAAATAATCCAAGGAAATGAATCCCAAATAAAAAAGAAAGGATTGGGAAGGAATTCCTGGGAATTCGTTCATGGAAAATCGGGGAAATTTTTAAAGAATTAGGAATTGATAAAATAAATAAATATTTAAAAATTCAAATCAAAATGAAAATAAAATATAAAATTGGGATAAAATTAAAATTAGAATAAATTTTAAAATTAAAATTAAAAGTAAAATCAAAAATAGGATTAAACATAATTTTAAAAAAATTAAAATTAAAAGTAAAGTTAAAAATAAAATTAAATAAAATTTGAAATGAATTTTAAAATAGTTTAAAATAACATTGAAAATAAAATTTAAAATAAAGAATTCGAATAAATTTTAAAATAAATTCAGAAATAAGAAAAAGTGGTTTGAAATAAAAGCAAAATTAAGATTAAAAACAGAAATAAAATAGAAATAAAATTAAAAATAACAGTAACAATAAAAAAATCATTTAAAATAGACTTAAAATAAAAATAAAATCTAAAAAAATAAAATAAAAATTAAATATAAAATTTAAAATGGAAATCAAAATAAAATTAAAAATAAAAACAAAACAAAGAACAAAAATAAAAATAAGAACAAAATTAAATTGAAAATAAAGATAAGATTTGAAGGAAAATTAAGAATAAAAATAAAGTTGAAAATAAAATCAGAAATAAAAATAAAATTAAAAATTACAATAAAATTAGAATTAAAATTAAGATTAAAAATAAAATTAAAAATAGAAGTAAAGTTAAAAATAAAAATTAAAAAAAAATAGAAATAGAAATAGAAATAGAAATAGAAATAAAAATAAACATAAATTAAAAAATTAAATTAAAAATGTAAGATCTGAAATAAAACTAAAATTAAAAATAAAACTTAAGATAAAAAATTAAAAATAAAACCAAGGAAAGAAAAAAACCCCAATAAATAAACAAAAACAAAAACCAGAAAAGGAAAACAAAATCCGGGAAAATCCAATTCCATGAAATTCCATGGAAATGCCCAAATCAAAATTAAGGAAGGAGCAATAAAAAATTCACAAACCCCGATCCCGAGCCCCACCCATTCCCAACATCATTCCCGGCTTTTCCCGGATCCCCATTCCCGGCTTTTCCCGGATCCCCATTCCCGGCTTTTCCCAGATCCCCATTCCCGGCTTTTCCCGGATCCCCATTCCCGGCTTTTCCCAGATCCCCATTCCTGGATTTTCCCAGATCCCCATTCCCAGTTTTTCCCGGATCCCCATTCCCAGCGCCATTCCTGGCTCTATTCCCACACTCCCAGATCCCCATTCCCAGATTTCCGAGATCGCCATTCCCAGATCCCTATTCCCAACTCCATTCCCTCATTCCCAGCTCCATTCCCGGCTCCATTCCTGGCTCCATTCCCGGTTCCATTCCTTCATTCCCGGCTCCATTCCCGGCTCCATTCCCGGCTCCATTCCCTCATTCCCAGCTCCATTCCTGGCTCCATTCCCGGCTCCATTCCCTCATTCCCAACTCCATTCCTGGCTCCATTCCTGGTTCCATTCCTTCATTCCCGGCTCCATTCCTGGCTCCATTCCCGGCTCCATTCCCGGCTCCATTCCCGGCTCCATTCCCTCATTCCCAACTCCATTCCCGACTCCATTCCCAGCTCCATTCCCTCATTCCCGACTCCATTCCCAGCTCCATTCCCGGCTCCATTCCCAACCTCATTCCCAGCCCCATTCCCATCCCCATTCCCAACCTCATTCCCAACCCCATTCCTGCATTCCTGGCCTCATTCACAGCTCCATTCCCTCATTCCCAACCCCATTCCCAACCCCATTCCTGCATTCCTGGCCTCATTCCCATCCTCATTCCCTCATTCCCAACCCCATTCCCACATCCCCATTCCCGCATTCCCGGCCCCATTCCCGGGTTTTCCCGCATTCCGGCCTTCCCGCCGTACCCAGGGATTTGGGGAGGAGGTTTCGGACGAACTCGGCGTGGTCTCCCACGTGCAGGACGCTGTAAACGCTGGAGTTCATCAGCTCCTCCTGCGCGTATCCCAAATATCCCGACACGTTCTCCGACACAAACACGATCCGGCCCTCCCGGTTCACCACGAAGAAAAATCCGTCCAGGGCCTGGGAAAAACGGGAAAGAATTCCAAGGTTTCATCCCAAGAAACGGGAAAAAATTCCATGGTTTTAGCCCCAAAAATTCCAAGGTTTTAGCTTAAAAAATGGGAGAGAAATCCAAGGTTATGTCCCAAAAAACTCCAAGGTTTTATCCCAAGAAATGGGAAATAATTCCAAGGTTTTATCCCAAAAACCAGGAAATAATTCCAAGCTTTTATCCCCAAAAATTCCAAGGTTTTACCCCCAGAAATAGGGAAAAAATTCCAAGGTTTTAACCCAAAAAATTCCAAGCTTTTATCCCGAAAGTCGGGAAAAAATTCCAAAGTTTTATGGGGGAAAATGGGGAAGAATTTCAAGGTCTTATTCTAAAGAATTCCAAGGTTTTATTCCAAAAGTTGGGAAAAAATTCCAAGGTGTTATCCCCAAAAATTCCAAGATTTTATCCCAACGAATTCCAAGGTTTCATCCCAAAAAGCGGGAAAGAATTCCAAGGTTTTAGCCCCAAAGATTCCAAGGTTTTAGCCTAAAAAATGGGAGAGAAATCCAAAGTTTTGTCCCAAAAAATTCCAAGGTTTTACCCCCAGAAATTAGGAAAAAATTCCAAGATTTTAACCCCAAAAATTCCAAGGTTTTAACCTAGAAAATTCCAAGGTTTTATGGGGAAAAACAGGGAAGAATTCCAAGGTGTTATCCCCAGAAATTCCAAGGTTTCATCCCAAAAAATGGGAAGAATTCCAAGGTTTTATCCCAAAAAAATTGGGAAAAAATTCCAAGGTCTTAGCCCAAAAAATTCCAAGGTTTTATCCCAAAAAACAAGAAAAATTCCAAGGTTTTATCCCAAAAAACAAGAAAAATTCCAAGGTTTTATGGGGAAAAACAGGGAAAAATTCCATGGTTCTATCTCAAAAAATGAGAAAAATTCCAAGGCTTTAAGCCTCAGAAATTCCAAGATTTTATCCCCAAAAATTCCAAGGTTTCATCCCAAAAAACGGGAAAGAATTCCAAGGTTTTATCCCCAAGAATTGGGAAAAAATTCCAAGGTTTTATGGGGAAAAACAGGGAAGAATTCCAAGGTGTTATCCCCAGAAATTCCAAGGTTTCATCCCAAAAAATGGGAAGAATTCCAAGGTTTTATCCCCCAAAAAATGGGAAAAAATTCCAAGGTCTTAGCCCAAAAAATTCCAAGGTTTTATCCCAAAAAACAAGAAAAATTCCAAGGTTTTATGGGGAAAAACAGGGAAAAATTCCATGGTTCTATCTCAAAAAATGAGAAAAATTCCAAGGCTTTAAGCCTCAGAAATTCCAAGATTTTATCCCCAAAAATTCCAAGGTTTCATCCCAAAAAACGGGAAAGAATTCCAAGGTTTTATCCCCAAGAATTGGGAAAAAATTCCAAGGTTTTATGGGGAAAACCAGGGAAAAATTCCAAGGTTTTTGCCAAAAAAAAACCAAAGAAAAATTCCAAGGTTTTATCCCCAAAAAATGGGAAGGAATTCCCAAGTTTTATGGGGAAAAATGGGGAAATTCCAAGGTTTTGTTCCAAAAAAATGGGAAAAAATTCCAAGGTTTTATCCCTCAAAATTCCAAGGTTTTACCCCAAAAAACAGGAAAAAAACAGGAAAAAATTCCAAGGTTTTTGCCAAATAAGCAGGAAAAAATTCCCAAGGATTTATCCCAAATAATGTGAAAAAATTCCAAAGTTTTATTCAAAAAAATTCCAAGGCTTAACCAAAAAAAAAAACAAGAAAAAATTCCAAGGCTTTATCCCAAAAAATTTGAAGGTTTTATCCTGAAAAATGGGGGGAAAATTCCAAGGTCTTATCCCAAAAATTCCAAGGTTTTATCCCAAAAAATTCCAAGGTTTTATCCCAAAAAACAGGAAAGAATTCCAAGGTTTTATCTCAAAAAATTCCAAGGTTTTATTCCAAAAAAACTGGGAAAAAATTCCAAGGATTTGTCCCAAAAAAAGGGAGAGAATTCCAAGGTTTTATCCCAAAAAATCGGGAAAAAACTCCAAGGTTTTATCCCCAAAAATTCCAAGGTTTTATCCCAAAAAATTGGGAAAAAATTCCAAGGGAAAAGCGGGAAAAGCAGGAAAAGCGGGAATTTCCCCTTTCCACGCCGGAACCGTTGAAAACTCCGGGACGGAATCACCAAATCCGGCCCCGAATCCCGGGAAAAACCCGGAAAACTCAAAATTCCCGGAAAAAAAAAAAAAAAAACCTGGAATTTCTCGCATTCCCGCTTTTCCCGAGCCGGAATTCCCGGATTTTCCCCACCTCGAGCAGGAGCGGCCCCAGGGATTCCTTCTCGATGACGCCGCCCTGGCTGCTGGAGGAGACGTCGGATTTCTGGACGTCGTCATCCGTGGATTTCTCTGGAAAAACGCCGGAAAAACGGGAATCGTCAACGTCGGAACGCGGGGGGAAAAACGGGATGGGGTTTTGGCGGGAAATTCCTGGCTTTTTCCCGGTTTCCCCCTTTTTTTTCCCGTTTTTTTTCCCAGCTTTTCCCGTATTTTTCCCATTTTTTTCAGGTTTTTACCTTTTTTTCCCAATTTTTCCCATTTTTTTCAGGTTTTTCCCTTTTTTTCCCAATTTTTCCCATTTTTTTCCCAATTTTTCCCATTTTTTTCAGGTTTTTCCCTTTTTTTCCCGATTTTTCCCAGATTTTTCCGTTTTTTTCCAGTTTTTCCCAGGTTTTTTCCCATTTTTTCACTTTTTTTTCCTGTTTTTTTTTAGATTTTACCAGGTTTTTTCCCGTTTTTTTTCCCTTTTTTCCTGTTTTTTTCTTGATTTTTCATGTTTTTTTCCTGGTTTTCCCATTTTTTTCCCCTTTTTTTTTCCCATTTTTTTCCCATTTTTTTTCTGGTTTTTCCCGGTTTTTCCCTTTTTTTTTTTCCAGATTTTTCCCATTTTTTTCCCCATTTTTTTCCCCTTTTT